GGGGGAGGGGGGAAGTAGGGGATAGTTTTCTTTATCCCTTTTAGGATTAAAGTTACGATAAGGACCAAGGGTCAGAATTAGTGTCAGGGTTACATATGGGGTTAGGATTAAGGTTACAGTTTAGATATGGTTGTGGTTAGGGTGAAGGTGAAGTCTAGCGTTTAGAGCCATAGTTTTTAGTTCTGTCTGTATCGTCGTTAGGGTCAGAATTAAGATTAAAGTTATGATAAGGATTCGTGTCATAATTATGATTATATTCTAGGTTTAGGTTTAGCGAGGATTAAGGTCAGTGCTAGGGTCAGAATTAGGACCAGGTTCAGACCTGTTGTTAAAATTATGTTAAGCTTCAAGTTTATGATCAGAACAGGGTTTAGGTTAAGTCTGGGGTTAGGATTAGAATTACATTCTAGACATAGTTTAAAGGCTAGGTGAAGGTTTTACAGCGATGTTTAGGTTTAGGATAGCGAAAATAGCAATAAACTCTAAACCGCCCTAGCCAAACTATCGTCCGTTCTACCGCCCCGAACATTCTTACACTGAAATCTGCAGTGCAACTACAGATGTATTCGTTTATTTCTCCTGAGCGCAGCCCTCATTAGGTACGCCGTGAACTGCGTCAGGAAAAAGAATCCGTCTAATTGGACATGCGCAGTCGCCCTGCCGGATCTCCCGGCAGTCTAAATGCTTGTTAGAAGAACGTCCGGTCTTTTCCGGTAAAGTAAAAAAAAAATCTTTCTTTCTTTAATTTGACGGGGAAAAAATATGTATGAAGCATAAATTGAAGGAATTTGCGGGAAAAAAAAATTATGATAAAGAAAATATTTTGTTTACAATTTTCTTAATAAGCCTTTACTCGCGCCTATTTCTACAACTGAATTTAAAAAAAAAAATAAAAACAACAACATTGGGACGAAGAAAAAAAACCGGAAAGGATTTACATAATTGAAATGGATGGGTCACCCCCCCCCCCCCGGCTACCATCGTAAACTTTAACCTAATACTAGCTCTAACCCTAGCCCCTTTCTTAACAATATTCCTGATTCCTGGCAATTAGCTTAATCTTAATCCTAACCTTAGCCTTAATCCTTTTCCTGACAGTTTTAACGATTTGTACTTAACTGCAATCTGCAATTTCACTTCCGACGTTTCTCTGAAGAATGTCAGGAATTTAAGTTGGGAGGAATGTCAGGAATTTAAGTTGGGAGGAATGTCAGTAATTTAAGTATGTCGGCAGGATATGGCCTGAGGTAGCAATAAATCCACTTCATCTGTAGTTAATCAGCCACGGGTAATGTTAGGACTGTGAGGGTACTGATTCAACCAGCCCTACTTTCATACCAATAATCACTTGACTGGATGCTGTACTTAGTCTGAAGTTAAGTCATTCATACTCATAGTCTTTAAGCTGAGTTACATCGACGATTTGATCTTTCTGCCTCATAGACTTGTGTCGGACTTCTAAGACTACATAAACGAGACAATCTCTTTCTTACAGCACCCATACTGATCTTACGCTTTCGCTTCAACCACCTAGAAACCTAGTTTTGTCATTTGGAAACCCATAGATGCAATTCTAGCCTCATTTCAAAACCTATAAATACAGCTCTACTCCCATTACAAAACTCATCGACGCACCTGTACTGCCCATAACAAAACCCATTGATACACGTCTACCCCCCCCCCATTACAAACCAATGGATACACCTCGACCCCCATTACAAAACCAATTGATGCACCTCTTCTCCCATTACAAAACCCATACACCTCTAATCCTCATTACAAATCCCATGCACCTCTACTCCCCATTACAAAACTCATAAATACACCTCAATCCCATCACAAAACCTAGGGATGCACCAAAGGTCTCATCACAAAACTTAGGGATGCACCAAAGGTCTCATCAAAAAACCTAGGGATGCACCAAAGGTCTCATCAACGAAACCTAGGGATGCACCAAAGGTCTTATCAACGAAACCGATTTATTCCCGTAAACACCAGCTTACAACACAACCCCATTTAGCCCAGCTTTTGAAAACTAGCACAAAAAAAAAAAAACCTGCCTTCGCGCGAGTCGAGAAAAACGATTTTTAATGACTTGCCAATGCATGCTACGCTGTTTCCCTGCGCTTAAGGTAGTTTTTTCCGCGCATAATGTAGTTTTTCCTGGCATAATGTAGTTTTCCGGGCATAATGTAGTTTTTTTTCCGCGCATAATGTAGTTTTTCCTGGCATAATGTAGTTTTCCGAGCATAATATACTTTTTCCGTGGACAGAAGTATTTTTAGCGTACCTTATAGTTTCCCCACTCGCCCCATTGTTTCCCCACTCGCCCCATTGTTTCCCCGGTTGCCCCATAGTTGCCCCACTCGCCCCATTGTTTCCCCGGTTGCCCCATAATTTCCTCCCTTGCCCCATAGTTTCCTCCCTTGTCCCATAGTTTCCTCCCTTGCCCCATAGTTTCCTCCCTTGCCCCATAGTTTCCTCCCTTGCCCCATAGTTTCCTCCCTTGCCTCATAGTTTCCTCCATTGCCCCATAGTTTCCTCCCTTGCCCCATAGTTTCCTCCCTTGCCTCATAATTTCCTCCCTTGCCCCATAGTTTCCTCCCTTGCCCCATAGTTTCCTCCCTTGCCCCATAGTTTCCTCCCTGGCCCCATAGTTTCCCCACTTGTCCCATAGTTTCCCCACTCCCCCATAGTTTCCTCCCTTGCCCCATAGTTTCCTCCCTTGCTCATAGTTTCCCCACTCCCCCATAGTTTCCCCACTCACCCCATAGTTTCCTCCCTTGTCCCATAGTTTCCTCCCTCCCCCCATAGTTTCCTCCCTTGCCCCACAGTTTCCTCCCTTGCCCCATAGTTTCCTCCCTCCCCCCATAGTTTCCTCCCTTGCCCCACAGTTTCCTCCCTTGCCCCATAGTTTCCTCCCTTGCCCCACAGTTTCCTCCCTTGCCCCATAGTTTCCTCCCTCGCCCCATAGTTTCTTCCCTTGCCCCATAGTTTCCTCCCTTGCCCCATAGTTTCCCCTTGTGCCAGCTGCAATCAAAAGATCACGCAGGGGCAGACAATCCCTGCACATCCTCCCTCCACACAAGACATTTAAATACGATTAATCTTTTTTTTTTCTTCTTTCCTGCGTTAAATATCACAGCACGAAGTAATCGATCAAACACCCCCCCCCACCTCACCCAACCCACTATATCTAAACTTATCTCAGAATAAAAAAAATACCCGAAGATTTATTGCGATGACCTTGACCGCAGGGCCTTGATTACAGTCGTGTTAATTAATGAGGTTGTTTTATCGGTGCCATGCTGTGGCACCAGGGCGCAGGTGGTCTTGGAGCCTCAGACCTGTAGAGACTGTGAGACAAAGGTCGCATACTATCGTAAGGTGGTTTTGTTTTGTTTCGTTTCCTCATTTTCCGGGTTTAAGTTTTTGTCAATTATCTGAAGAAGAAAAAAAACAAAAACAAAAAAAATATAATTCAAATTTTTATTTGAACGATTTAAAATACATATGCTTTATGTCTTTATATCGCATGTGACGTATTTAATTTCAGCATACTATTCTTCATTTTGATATTGGTGGTTGTTCAGGGAAGGTAAAAATGTCTCACTAGACTTGCGCCCAATGTCCTTCATCCAGAGGCGAAGCGGGGGGGGGGGGGGGTACATATGTCCTCGGGCGCCGACTATAGGGGGCGCCAAAATGGGTTTGAAAAAAATTTAAAAGCTTATTTTAGCTGCAGTTTTGCATTATAAATATAAAAATATATATTGAGGGGGCGCCAAATTGAAAGTTTGTTACCAGGGGGGGGGGGGGGGGGGGGCGCCAAATTGAAAGTTTGTCCCCGGGCGCCGGGAAGGGTAGTTACACCTCTGCCTTCATCCTCTCCCCCCCTCCCAAATACATTAATTAAACCTAAAGTTAGCAGCAGTACTTACCTTAACATATACTAACGCTAATAATATCTTTGTTAAAAATTTATTTTATTTTGTTTCGTGTTTGGTTAGGTATTTTGTTGATGAGCTCTTCCCAGTTTTTAGATGCAGCAAGCGCATTGCCCTCGCGTGTGTTGACATGCGCACAAAACACATGCGCGCGTGTCGTCCGCGTCAGGACCTGCACGTGCGACATAAATCTCGAGCTCACGTCGACAGCCAGGTCGGAAACTGCTGAGTCACGTGGTGATCAGACTCGTTTTTTTTTCTTTTTTTTTTCGTTTGTTAAACTCTTGAACGTATTTTTTTTAAAAATTATTATTTTGTTTTGAGCGTAATAAAACTATAGTACTAGCTGGATCTCTATGCTCATTTGTTGGTGTCGTATATCATGTTGGCTACGTGACATAATGTAATTTTTTTTATTAGACTTGATGGTAATTTTATTTTACTGATGTTAACCTTTTTTTACTCCCCCTGACATTCTTCCCTCCCTTTAATTTAACCTTTTTGATTGTCTAAAATGAAATCTTTTTGACTCTTTGTAATCATTTCTTCACCCCTCCCTTAATTAATTAGGTAACGTCCTGTTCCCTGGGTCCATCAGTTGTGTGGAGAGGGGCCTGATATACGGGCAACAACTGGCTCTTCTCATCTTATCACCCGATAGTCCATTGGACTATGAATATATATATATATATATATATATATATATATATATATATATATATATATATATATATATATATATATATATATATAGTTTTTGTTTTCCCGACGCATGATAACTATAACTCCACCAACTCGCACTAACTGCCATAATTCAACTAATTTTTATAACAGAAAAAGAGATTAAACATTTAAAAACCAAGCTAGGAAAACAATTGCTACCACGTACAAACGTTTAAAATAAAAATAAAAAACTGGACAATTTTAAGGGACGAAAGAAAAAATCGAAGTCAGAATTGCCGAGAAACATTGTCTCCGCATTATGACCTTTATAAACTGGGAGGGGGGGGGATGTGACCTACTTAGGTCTGTTTGGCTTTATGTATATTTGATCTCCTGAGTTATGTATTTGTCCTTGGGAGAATTGTCAGTTCACTGGTACAACCCGGTCAACTGAACGCTGTCACATCATGTGATTGTAAGTTTAATCCCTGGCAGAACCTCAACCAATGGACTTGCGACCGTGAGGATCCTTGACTGACCCTCAACCAATAGTCGTAAGACTTTTGAGTTATTCCCCCTTAATCTGAGTTGTATTTAATCACGGGATTTTCAAGTCCAGAGGCCGCCAGATTGACTTTTGGACTAGGAGAGGTGTGCCAGTGGTTAGGTACGCCATTTTGCAGTATGGTCATTATGTGACATTATTTTCACCTTTTGTATAAGGAATTATGTGACTAGTTGTAGTTTACTGAATTTGTGTTCTGGTGTATTATTACACCTTTTTGACTATCGGTGATAGTTTAACCTGTATAAGGATTTCTATTGTTGTAGAGGCAAATTGTCTCTCCTTGGTTTTTTGTTGTGGTTATTATGAGGCCAGTTCAGTTGTGTGTATTAATGATTTATCACAGCTGTGATGTATTGTGATTTTTCTCAAACTGTAAGTTGGAGTTGAGTTTATTTATATTACACTGAGAATCTGTACATTTTGATCTTACCTAGTGTCATTATCTTGTACATAAATTAAAAAGGTATTCATAGTTTAAGTCGTGTGAGTCTCTTCGATTTGTCGTGTTTTACCCCTAGACTGCATTAACGAGCTCACGGCAAGTTGTTGAGATTCCGTTACAACGTCTTCTATCGGTACCATACCAAACGAACCTGGGGCGTCCGCTTCCTCCGCGGCTGTCGGAGGTCGGACATAACAAGTGAGGGCTCGACCGGTATTTTGATTTATGTGCAAGTTTGGCATTAGTTTGAGTTTGTGATTTAGAGTTTGGTCAGAAGTTCGAAGAAGTTGAACTAGTTATTGAGTAGTTGTTTTTGTTATCAGTTGAAAGTAAACATTGTTACTTGTTAGCTATGGAGGCTTTGTTGTTAAGTCCTACTGTGGAAGCAGTTGAGAACTTAAGTAGGAAAGATTTGATAACAGTTGTCAAAAAGTTAAACCTGGACTATATTGTTACTCAGACCTCTAGGGTGTTGAAGGACAAAGTTATTGTTTACTTCATTAATGAAGGCATGTTAGATGAGAGTCTTCTTTCTGAAGTTTTGGCACGGGAAGTGGAAATTGTTGATAGGGAGTTTGAGGCCAGACTAAAGTTAGAAAGAGAAGTTCAGATGAAGCGTTTAGAGTATGAGTTTGGTATTATTGACAGTAGTTCGAGGTCAGAAGGTCCTTCTCAGTTGTCTGTGGCCCAAACATTGGCCCAGTTTTGCAAATTAGTCCCTAAGTTTGATGAGTCAGATCTTGTCGTATTTTTTAATACATTTGAGAACATGGCTGAAAGTTGTCAATGGCCTAGTAACGTAGTCACAACGTTACTAAGCACTGTTTTAATTGGTAAGGCTGCCACCACATACCAGGCACTCTCTCGCGAAGTCCAGTCAGATTACAAAAAAGTCAAGGCTGCCATTCTGAAGGCTTACGAAATAACTCCAGAAGCCTACAGAATTAAGTTCAGAAAAATTAGGAAACAACAGAACCAAACCTATGTTGAGTTCCTTTTTGAAAAAGAAAAAGTCTTTTCAAGATGGCTCCATTCTGAGAATGTCGACGACTTCGACAAACTCAGAAGTCTGATACTAAGAGAAGATTTCCTCAACGCAGTACCTGAAGAGATCAGACTACACATCTTGGATAACCGAATAACAGACATCAAAAGGGCAGCAGAATCAGCTGATACATACGAGCTGGTACATAAGAAGTCACAGGGTTCTGGTACCAAATACAATCCGGTACTACCTCTCATCAGCAACAATCCCTCTGCTGGCCAGTTGCTGAGATCTCGTCAATCAACACAGATACCCAGAGTCACAGCCAGGCGACTGATCTGCCACTATTGTTCCAAGCCTGGGCACATCATCAAGAACTGTTTCCTGCGACAGCGAGACAACAGAGAGTATATACGAACATCTCGTAACGCTCTCCCCCACCAAGCAAGTCCAAAGGTGAACCTCGCCCGTCGTGATGACCCTACACCAGCGTGTCCACAGGGAGGTAACGAAGTGACCACCACTTTCGTCCAGTCATCTTATGACTATCCTCTTCACCAACCGGTTACATCAGCAGCAACCAATGGTGAAGAATCGAGAACTGTTGGCTTCACGTCATTCATGACAGATGCTGTCATCAGCAACCCTGGAGATCCAGCATCATCGCGGAACATCGTCGTCCTAAGAGACACTGGGGCTTCTCAGTCACTTTTGCTGAGAGACTCATTGAACATCGCTCCAGAAACCAACACCGGTGATGTCACCATCATTCAAGGAGTGGGAGCTGAACCAACAGTAGTTCCACTACATAAGTTCAACTTGAGACATCAGCTCATCCAAGGAGATGTTATCCTTGGGGTGATAGATTCCATACCTGTCCCAGGAGTACACTTTCTCCTAGGTAACGACTTAGCGGGAAGCAAAGTCCACCCCCAGGAAGTTCAGAACCCGTTCTCTACAGACCCCGACGGTGAAAATGAACTGTTCTTTTGGCCGAGAATGCACAACGATGACACCCGTTATTGCAGACATTGTAAGAACTGTCAGTTGGTTGGGAATCCCAATCAAAATATTCCCAAGGCCGATGAGACCGATTCGTGTGCTAGACGAAGCATTTAACAAGATTACCAAGGACTGCGCCACCTCTTCCCAGACCGGAGAAAGAAACAACTGGTTCATCATGTAAACTCACTATCTCTTTCTCCACAGCTAAGTTTATGTTACATATAAGTATTTATAGTAAATTTGATGATGCTACTCTTAAATTGTTAAAGGCCCCAAAATTGTTAAATACTAAATTTTTGGCCCATTTAGAAGACCAACATGTACATTTATCTTCTAATGAGAATCAGACATTCTCACAGGTAGTTAAAACTTTACCCTCCATTCCTTGGGATGGCAGGTTACTATAGGCGGTTTTGTAAAAACTTTTCAGCTGTAGCTGAACCACTTACGGCCTTATTGAAAAAGGGTGTTGAGTTTGAATGGTCAACTAAATGTCATGAAGCTTTTTTGACCATTAAGTCATTTTTATCTAATGCTCCTGTTATGGCTGCACCAGATTTCAGCAAGCCTTTTAAACTTGCCATTGATGCTAGCAATTTAGCCATTGGCTCAGTCTTATTCCAGGAAGACAACCGAGGGATCGATCATCCAATAGCCTTTTTCTCTAGAAAGTTAAATGAGAATCAAAAGAATTATTCCACTATTGAAAAAGAAGCATTAGCTTTAGTCCTGTCCTTACAGCATTTTGAAGTCTATGTCACCTCTTCCATAAATCCAGTCATGGTATTTTCTGACCATGATCCTCTTAAGTTCACTACTAAGTTGGGACAGAATAACAACAGAATTTTAAGATGGTGTCTATTTTTCCAAAATTTTAATCTGGTTATTTCCCATATTAAAGGAACTGACAACATTGTAGCTGACTGTTTGTCAAGAATGTAAAACAACTTTTGATGTTCACATTGATCTTGTGAAACTTTTTTGGTTAGTTATAACCATTTTGCAAATGTTATGGTTGATTAAACTGTAGTCTAGTGGCTGGAGTTCCAAGCTTTCAATCAGATGTGAATTGTACGGTTTTTTCGAAACTGATTACTTGTTGAAAATGCCTGTTATTTTCAAATGAACCTTATTTAAAGGTGGTTTTGTATAATGTGCATTGAGTTGTTATAAAAATGTATCACATTATGCACTTGATGTTATATTGAGATATTTAAATAAAGGAATTAAGTTGTAAGTTTCCCACATATTAGGTCCAGATGGATATGTTTTGTTTCCTTTGCATAAGGAACTTTGATGTATTATTATTTTGGGAAGGATTGTTTCCCTTTGGTAAATTGTAAAAAGGTGAATTGTTTCCCTTTAATTTTTAAGGATGTTTTTTCCTGACATAGAAATTTTGTTAGACTATAATTGGACATTTTTTGTGTCAGATGTGTTCCATATAGTGATTGCCATTTTTGTGTAACAAAAATGCCTCTCTAAAAGGGAGGGGATGTGACCTACTTAGGTCTGTTTGGCTTTATGTATATTTGATCTCCTGAGTTATGTATTTGTCCTTGGGAGAATTGTCAGTTCACTGGTACAACCCGGTCAACTGAACGCTGTCACATCATGTGATTGTAAGTTTAATCCCTGGCAGAACCTCAACCAATGGACTTGCGACCGTGAGGATCCTTGACTGACCCTCAACCAATAGTCGTAAGACTTTTGAGTTATTCCCCCTTAATCTGAGTTGTATTTAATCACGGGATTTTCAAGTCCAGAGGCCGCCAGATTGACTTTTGGACTAGGAGAGGTGTGCCAGTGGTTAGGTACGCCATTTTGCAGTATGGTCATTATGTGACATTATTTTCACCTTTTGTATAAGGAATTATGTGACTAGTTGTAGTTTACTGAATTTGTGTTCTGGTGTATTATTACACCTTTTTGACTATCGGTGATAGTTTAACCTGTATAAGGATTTCTATTGTTGTAGAGGCAAATTGTCTCTCCTTGGTTTTTTGTTGTGGTTATTATGAGGCCAGTTCAGTTGTGTGTATTAATGATTTATCACAGCTGTGATGTATTGTGATTTTTCTCAAACTGTAAGTTGGAGTTGAGTTTATTTATATTACACTGAGAATCTGTACATTTTGATCTTACCTAGTGTCATTATCTTGTACATAAATTAAAAAGGTATTCATAGTTTAAGTCGTGTGAGTCTCTTCGATTTGTCGTGTTTTACCCCTAGACTGCATTAACGAGCTCACGGCAAGTTGTTGAGATTCCGTTACAACGTCTTCTATCGGTACCATACCAAACGAACCTGGGGCGTCCGCTTCCTCCGCGGCTGTCGGAGGTCGGACATAACAGGGAGAATATTAAGGGAGAGAAGAAATGCAGTCAGCTGTAATGGTTGGGGGGGGGGGGGGGGGGGGGGAATCAGTTGGATGATGTAAAGCACGTGACTAGACGGGATAACGATTTGGTTGGTTACTTCTGAAATATATCAATATTTCTTTTTTTTTTTCTTCAATTTCGAAAAGATTGCAAGAATGTAAATGTTGGGATAATACAGAGTAAAGAGAAATACATTTGTGTAAGAGATTTTGGTTTGCGAGATAGGTATAGGGTACTCATGGTATAGGGGAGTCATGGTAAAGAGGAGTCGTGTCATAAGTTATAAGGTAGTCGTGTTATAGGGGAGTCATGGTATGGGGGAGTCTGGTTATATGTGAGCAAGATTATGTAGGTTCAGGTTATATGTAAGTCATTGTATAGAGGAGTCTGGTTATAGGGGAGACATGGTATAGGGGAGTCAGGTTATAGGGGAATCATGGTATAGGGGAGTCATGTTAAAGGGGAGTCATGGTATTGGGGAGTCTTGTTATAGGGGAGTCTGGTTATAGAGGAGTCATGGTAAATGAGTCATAATATAATGGAGCCATGTTATATTGTAGTCATGTTATAAAGGAGTTATGGTATAGTGGAGTCACAGTATAAATGTTTCATGGTATAGAGGAGTCATGGTAAACAGAAACTGTGGTATGGTGGCGTCAACGTTAAGAGAGTCTAGGCATACGCGAGTCGTGATTAAGGCAAGCAGTGGTAAAGAGGAGTCATGATTTGAGAGAATCATTGACAGCTTGGAATCATTGAAAAGAGGAATTAGGGAAAACTGTGAACAATTGAATGCAGCTTTAGTAGATCGAAGTCGGATCTTGGAATAATGAAATAGGGGGAGTCTTCTTATTTGCAGTATCTCGTTAGCTAGGAGTCATTGTGGATGGAAATCGTAGCAGAGGAGTCATGTAAAATATATTCATGATTCGTGAACACATTTTAAAAAAAAAAAAAAAAACAAGTTTCTTGTCTGTGGTTATAGCTGCCATGATTTATCCACACGAAGTATTTCCAGCCTCGAGGTGGTCGGTCAAGGTCGCGACCTTGGTATTTATTAATAACCCCCGTCGGCCATCTTCCTAATGTCCGGCCAGCCACGTGACCTAATGGTGACCTTCACCGACAACGCGGGTTGTGTTTCCTAACATGTATGACAGACCCGGATGTACACAGTTTGAGTTGGACTCATAACGCGTCGATGTACACAGTGATGTTTGAGTTGAACGTGTGTGTACACAAGGGTATTTTAGGTGGACGTCTAGCAGTAACATAATATTGATGGAACGGAGTGGTCATATGTTAGAGCGTTCCACTGTCAACCCGAAAGTCTAGAGTTCGAATCTCCCCGGCTCAAAATCCGGAAGACGTCCCTGAGTCCATCCAGCACTTATGGGTACCTGACTCACGTTAGGGAAAGTAATGACCACATTATCCCTTCAAATACTAGGGTATCTAAAACAGGTAAACTGTACTTTCCATGGACCTTAAGGTTAGAAAGGGGGCTTTTAACAAACGGCTGTACTTGGTGATGTTGTAGTTGAACGAATGTAAACGGTGATGTTTCAGCTGGCCGCCTAGCATTCTGATGCTAGAAATCAAGGTACAGACACGCCATAAAATAAAAGCTCGTGCGGAATTGTCCTTATCCGGGTATGAGGACCCGTATAAATCTTTTTAAATAGGATTCTAAGCGCCAAGATTGAGTCGGGGAATTCCCGTTCTATTTTAATCCTTGTTGGCATTTAGGGTTGAAGTTTTTTTTTTTACCTCCAAAACTTGACAGGGTTATGTTGCACAACAAGGAAGTGGCGTGACTAGGGTTTTGGTTGTGAAATGTAATGTTAACGTTTGTTTCATTACCCACTGAAGGGGGGGGGGGGGGTAGCGATGTGGAATAGGGGTGGGGGAGGAGAAATTGTGAAGATTAAAAAATAATTTATTCACTCTGTTCGGATTTTAAAAATTGTCACCTGTATGTATATATTAGTTTGCATCAGTATTCAAAACTAGTCTTTTTTCAGAGGCGTCATTAGAATGGGCGTCACCCGGTTGCGGTGTATGAGGGTGTTACATACATACGCACGCACACACAGAAATGACTGTAAATACAGCCTTACATTACCATCAAGTAATCGTCAGAACACCCCCCCCCCCACACACACACACATACATACGCACGCACACACAGAGAGAAATGACTGTAAATACTGCCTTAAATCACAATCAAGGATCCGTCAGAACCCCTCTTCCCGTCCCCCCCCCCCCCCCATACACACACACACGCACACAGAGAAATGACTGTAAATACAGGATTAAATTACCGTAAAAATCCGTCAGAATCCCCCCTCCCCCCCCCCCCACCACCACCACCACCCCCACATACACACCGAACTGATTGTAAATACAGGATTAACTTACGCGTAAGCTCCGTTATAAATGTGTAATGAAGATCCTCTAATCAGCCTTTTAATCCCTTCATGACGGGACGAACAGGCATAGACCAGTGGTTCTCCAACTAGCGAAACTACGGGCCCCCTGTTTTAATAGCGTTTAAAAAAAAAACAACATATAATTATTATAATGATATGTAACATTATCCATCGTCTTGAGAACGCACACTTAAAAAACTGATGTTCTTCTATTTCCACTACGTCCTTAATTTTAATGTTGGATTGTATGCCCTCCAATACAATCAAGTATACGTGTCAACTTGTTATGTGCCAGATAGTCCATTGACTCCGATTTCAGCCTGCTTTTCTTTTTTGGATTTGCTTCCATAGCCTTTGTCCAACCAAGAACAAACTACAAACCAGCAGTTGTTTGATTTTGGAGTTGTCTCTCATAGAGGAGTGGCTGTCCACAGCTAACGAGCCTCATCTGCCCAGGTAATTATCCATACTTCTAGCGTTTTACTAAAACAATGTCTGTATTGTATTGATACATCTCATTAACTGAGGACTATGATTGGGGTCAAAGTTGAAGTATCGACGATTGTTTATCCACCTTATTATGTTATTCCTTTGTGCTATTTCTTGGTTGAAGATATTAAAAAAAAACAACTTTCGTACCCCCATGGTCAATGTGGCAGGTGAAGTAGAGTTCACCTATTACAGTGACCTCGGCATAAGTAGGGAGAGTGTGGTCAGCACTATACCCAGTCACCTTTACTTTTCCCCCAACGTAAATCAGGTACCCATCAGAGCTGGGTGGACTCAGGGACGTCCATACAGTCGCAAGTCCGAACCGAGATCCGAACTCGAGAACTTCGGGCTAGTAGCCAAACGCTCTACCATTCGACCACGCCGTCCCATATTTATGTAAATATTAGTGCATTATTATATTTTTAAAGAAAATCAATTTATTTTCTTCTTTCTTGTGCGTACATACAAGTTTGTTATTATAAACCTTTTTTTATAATTTTTTTTGAGACTCTTTGATAACCTGCATCTTACCTGAAAAGTCTTTGAAGTGTGGTTGTTTTTTTTTAAACACCTATTTCCATATTACCTGTGCAGTTTATGTTTTTTGACACCACCTATCTCGTCTGAGGTATAGCAATCAATCGTCCAGGTATTTATTACCTGTAACGGGCAGGTAATCTTACATTATTCTATCACGTGTAAGTGTAAGGCGTGCCGTCCAAACTTTGCCCGGGGGGACGGGGGGTCTTTGCTTAATGATGAAGTTGACGGTTGTTTATTGGGAGTTTGATGACGTATATACAGAAAAACAACTTTGTTGTTTGAGGTCTGACGCGTGGTTTGATTTTTAGTGGATTTTGTACGGCGTAGAAGTACTTTAATAGACCGATGGACTTGGTCTAGAAAATAAGTCACTGTATGATTTGTTATTGCAAACCTCCGTAGGTTTATATGATTATTATTCGTAAACATTTTATTACTATTCGTAAACATCTAAAGGTTTATATGATTTGTATTTTCCAAGCTCCATAGGTTTATATAACTTGTATTAGCAAACCTCCATAGGTTTGTATGATTAATATTAGTATAGGCCTACCTCTAAAGTTTATATGATTTGTATTTGTAAACCACCATAGGTTTATAGAATTTGTATTGTAAAACTACATAGGTTTTTATGATTTGTATTTGAAAACCTCTATAGGTTGATGTGATTTGTATTTGTAAACCTCAATAGGTTTATATAATTTGTATTTATAAACCTTCATCGGTTTTTGTGATTTGTATTTGTAAATCTTCATAGGTTTTATATAATTTGTATTTGCAAACTTCTATAAGTTTTTATGATTTGTATTTGCAAACCTCTAAAGTTTATAGGTATTTGGTATCTGGAAACCTCATTAGGTTTAAATCTCTAAACTTTGGTTAAAAAACATTGTTTAATAATGACGCTCCGTTATGTTTATAAGCTTGTTACATGGCCGCATCGATATTTTATAAGATTAATGTATAAATTTGGCAAATTGAAAGCGCCATGGGTCCTGTAGAATTTGTGTTCGGAAAAAAATTCTATTGCTCAGACCATTTGAAAAACAACATTGCTCAAATAAAATTAATCACAGGAATCGTACAAAGAGCTATGCTCTTTTAAACACACGTTCATATTTTTGTAACCCCATTCTCGAACTAAAGAAAACAAAAATAATGCAGACGGTACCAGATATTTTAAGAAACGCTAATTAAAGGTAATCGAATTTGAAAGAGAAATAAACATTCCCAAAAATTGTATGTAGCATTGGCGAATCCATCGAAATTAAAGATTTAAAAGATCGCTACGCTTATTAGAGCTGATCACAAAATAAATTGAAAAAAACTGGCTAATTCTATAAGACTAAATGCTCATACATTTCCAGCCGTTATCTGAATGCCTGGTCAAATATAAAAAATAAATATTCATCTATGCCGGAAAATTCTGGTCAATACACGTGGTGAGGTAATGGATTTAAAAAAAAAAAAAACTGAATTAAAATTTAATATTCCTGCCTGGAACAAATTCCTTAACGGATCAATAAAGCAATAGAACTCTTCTACACCGTGATCACAGTAAATAATCACCAATAAAGTGGATGTTGGTTTTACGTCCAAGACGTCCATTAAACAAACACAGTTCGTTGTACGCCCTGAGTTCACGGAACTTGCCGGTAAGGCCCTGTAAATAGAGCCAGGTTTTTTTTAAAGCACTGAATGACCTGTCTGTGTCGTCTTGACACTTCCGGTGAGGTGAATGTCCTGAGTTACTTCCCTCCCCACTCCCAACACCCCCAACCCCACCACACCGCCCACCCCCCACCACACCGCCCTTATCACGGCATTCCTTGTCTAAATTTAAATATTTATTTTTTCTTGTATAAGTAGGCATGCATCTTTAAAATTATAAATTCAAGTTTAATATTAAATAAACTTACGCACAATATAATCTAAATTATAGGATATATATTATTTCATCCCCCTATATATTATTATTGTCTTCTATAGTAATAAATGTATTTCTTGAAACACAAAACCTTCACATAACATAATAGTAACATCATCTGAACTATACTATCTCAACTATAACCAGTGGCGTAGCGAGGTCGGGTGTCACCCGGTGCGGCACTTAATGGTGTCACCCCCCCCCCCCCCAGAGGCATAGCGACCCTTCCCGGGGACAAACTTTCAAATTTTCGTTTTGCACCCCCCCCCCCAAAACTTTCGATTTGCACCCCCCCCCCCACCCCTCAAGTTTTCTCTATATATTTTGCTATTTCTTGCCTTGGTGTCACTCCTTAGAAGGTGTCACCCGGTGTGGTCCGCACCCCCCCGCCCCCCCCCCCCGCTACGCCTCTGGCTATAACTACATCATCTATTCTAAAACATTACTATAACATAATGTCATCTATACCCTAACATCATATTTTCTATAACATCAAATGTACATAATTTAACCTTCAAGATAACGTCACCTAAGAAATAACATTACCTATAACATCACCAATAACATAACATCACCTATATGATATTATCTATTACGTCACAAATAGCATCACCTACAACATTACCTGTAACATAACATGACTTACAACATTACCTATAACATCACGTACAATATCATCTTAAACATGACCTATAACACCACCTATAACATCACCTATAACATCACCCATGACATCACCTGTAAAATAAAATCATTTATAACACATCACCTATAATATTACGAATAACATCCCCTATAACATCACCTCTAGCATAACGCCGTTATCGTCCAGTTTTCCCCTAACATCTGACACACCCATGATGCCAGTGTCTAAACGTTTCCTCCCATAATCCCCCAATATTAGCCCTAATGCCAGTTTCCGGATGCTTCCTGATTCTACCTGCTTTCCCCTCTCCCCTGGCAGTCCCTCCCACCCCACCCCCTCCACAAATACATTGGAGCAGATATAAATTCGTTTTACATCGACGTTCGCATATTTTCTTACGACGATAAAAAAATTGCAGTTTTCAGGAAACTTGACCTTTCAGACAATGATTTTTAGTGCGTTTTTCGTTGTTGTTTTTTTTTTTTTTTTTAAATAAGGAAAGTATACTTTTTAGAAATAAAAAACGAAATCATGGCATTTTATTTTTTAAAAAATCCAAGTTAAGCTATTAACCGAATTCTGTTTTTACAAGCTTTTATTTAACTCACTTCCTCTGTCTGTCGTAAGTCGTCAGTCGTCAGTCTAGACGGAAACGCTGGAATGAAAATTCGGAAACTTCTACTTGACCGACACGATTCACAGTTGGCACGTGGGTCAAGACATGAAGACAATGCAATCTGAAACTAAATTTGACTTAATTGGATGCCTAATTAATTTTTTATGAATTAATTAAAATTTGGACCGAATTAGTAGGCATGTCTAGCCAACCACACCACACGCGTCATCACCTTCAATAGCTGCGCCATCACGTAATGGCTGCGTTCAAAAACCATTGCGCGCCTACTGAACGTGATGTTCAGTAGGCGCGCAATGGTTTTTAGTCATGTAACTCTATTGTAAATAAAACATGTAAAGTACTGAAAAAAAATTCATAAAAAAACGTTTTAATAACAAGCTTTTATGTAACAATGCACTAAAAAGTAGAAAATAAATTATAGACTACTATTTAAATAACTATAAAGAAAAGCGTGGGTGTCTTCCTTAACATTAGTAAAGGTATCCAATAGATACTAAAGTGACCCACGCTTTTCTTTATAGTTATTTAAATAGTAGTCTATAATTTATTTTCTACTTTTTAGTGCATTGTTACATAAAAGCTTGTTATTAAAACGTTTTTTATGAATTTTTTTTTTTAATGTTCAAAGGTTTAAACTTACAGATATGCCACCCTTAGGCAAGGGGAGGGGAGGAGGGAGTATGTCGGGACGGTTTGTATGTCTGTATGTTAGATCTATATGTGAGGTTAAGGAAGACGGGATTGCATGCCAGTCTATGGGTTTCATGCTTGCCTATTTGTTACGTGTGTTTGGGGGGCGGGGTACTTTAAATATTAACACGTGTATAGAGAGCTACACCTGTTCTTGATTGCGATATACGGAGATATACGGAGATACTATACCCCAGAAGCATACATAAACAGCACTATATAATTTTAGCGCTTGACGATTTTATTTCTAAACCGGCTACCATTAGGTCGTAGCAAATCCTTTGAATCATAATTTTATAAATGGCTCTGATCATGTAACAATAAGGAATAACAGATAACCTAGGCTAGTCTTTATCCCACAGAGGCGACAATATTATAAAAGGCTTAAATATTTGTTCCTCAAAAGCAAATTCTACATCAGCGGCAATCTCTATCACCCCTCTTCTCACCCCCCCCCCCCCTCCCATGACTGAAATGCTGGTAGAGGGCCCCCCCCCCAGCTCTTAGGACTAAGATGCTGG